CGCAGCACCGGTGGATCACGTGCTCCCGAAGTGACTGCAAATACAGGACTAAACTGGAGAACGACTTCCGGCAGCATCTGATCAAACACTCGGATCGGTTCGCGTGCAGTGAATGCGATAAGCGGTTCCTAAAGGAGGCGCACCTCCGGCACCACATGCGCTCACACGACGACACCCTCAAGTTGAGGTGCGAGTGGCCCGGCTGTGAGCGGCTGTTCACCTCTAAGAGCAACTTCAAGTCGCATATGAATACCCATACCGGGGAACAGGTGTACGCGTGCGAGTGGCCCGGCTGTGGAAAGACATCACTCAATCAGAAGTCGATGTTGAGTCACGCGGCAAAAGCCCATAAGTGATAGGCGCTGATCGACAGGTGCTCCACATTTGCCACTCATTTGATTGATATGTTGTTTCTGTTCAAATGCAGCGCTGACTAGACTACCAGTGCTGTTATGATTGAAATGATTGCGTGTTGATAGTGGACAGGCATGTGCACTGATAAGTGTTGTCTAATTTATATACATTTTTTGAATGAATGAAATAATTTGTGTTAATTTTATGAAAACAATTCATTGCGAGTGTTTTCACAGCAATTTAAATAGCGTTATAAATTAAAATTTTTGTGAATACAGTATACAATATACAAAAGTTATTGTTATTAATTGATTCATTTGTAAGTTATGTAATTAAAATTATATTTAAAATTTTCAAATAAATTATATCTCATTTTTAATGACAGTATTATTACGGGTAATAAAAGTGACTTTTGTGTGAATAGTTTGTGCAAAACATGTGATTCATGTGATGTTTGTTTACATTAAAAGCACATGAAGTTTGATCAATATTTGTAATTCATATATGATATGAGCAGTGAATTGTCGGTAAATATGGATTTAATTTGTGGTGATTTTCGACCATTAAGTCGAAGACAATTGTATTCATTGATCAGTGAATTGAAGCGAGAAATCAGTCGTTTGTCAACAGATTTACTGAAATATAAATTACTTTCAAATGATTGTCTAAATTATCTCAAGTTTTTGGGAGAAATGAATGAAACGATTGAAACAAATACTGAAAAGCATTTCATTTCACAAATCAATGCTTCAAAAGACATTAAAAATGGTTTCATTTGTTTAAATGAATCACAAATTAGGGTAATTTAATGATTAATTAGGTTAATTTAACACAAAATTTAGGTAATTTAGTGCACAATTAGGCTAAATTAATCAGAATTAAAGTTAATTTTGTTAAAAACTATTTTGATTCAATATATAATTTGATTAGCTTACTTCACAATTAGGGTAATTTAGTTCAGTTAGATTAATTTAGTTTAAAAATTAGTTTATTTTATTTGTTACTAATTTTATTATATATTATTAAAAAATTTATGATGATTATTTTTGGTATACCTGATTGACTAATATATCTCTCTAAAATTAAATATTTCTTTGAGTGATACAAACAAAGTTTGTGTTTAATATAGGCGCAATTATTTGGCCCTAAATATAATACATATATTAATTTGATCACAAATTTAATTTAATTATAACTACCATATTTTTACCCGGGAGAAATCAATCTCAAGGTTGATATGTAACCCTTAGACGGGAGACATACCCTATTCTCGAAGACTCCCGGGAGGTTTGGCAGCCCTAATGGCAGGTGAAGATATTTTTCATTAAAACATTAAAATAGTTGTTACATATATAATAATACCTATTTAATTCTACAGGGTATTGCAATAGAAGCACTTAAGTGTACAAGCTTATTATTCAAAAACTAATTGAGATATCAAAGTTATTAAAGTGTTTTGATATCTCAATTAGTTTTTGAATAATAAGCTTATACACTTACGTGCTTCTATTGCAATCCCCTGTATTATAATAGAAAAAGATTTTTCAATATTTTAAAAATTAATTATTTTGTAATTATAAAGTTGTAAAATATTCCATAATATATATAATAAACATAAAATGTTATTTCAAATTACACCTAAATATTATAAATGTATATAATGTATTATATATTATATATAATACAAAATCATATGAATAATAAAATCCAAATTATTAACTAATATTTTTAATAACATTATTTCCTAGAGTAATATATAAAATTATAAAATTTACAAATAAAAAAAACTGTATTATAAGTGTGTACAACTACGTTTAGGTGGTGGTTCACAATCCGATAAAGCAGCATCAATGTCATTTAATGTGGGCAACACATATTGCAATAAATTAGTTGACACAATTTCATAGAAAAATATATTATTTTGATTTTTAAGATAGCCTAATTTTGTCTCAAAATGAGTGTCATTTGCCACAATATGCCTATCAATAGACCATTCATTATAATTATTCAATACTTCCTTACATTCAAGTCTTGTATGAAATTTCTGAGCAAACATTAAATCCAATTGTGTTTGCAATTGAATTATTGGTTTGTTTATCATGTGATATATCGGTGAATAAGCCTTTGGACTGTAATATAAATTATATTAGAAATAAATTTATGTGTATTTTTTACTATATACTTCACAATGTCTATATTATATAAATTAATTTTAAACAATTCGCCGCCAATTAGTGCTAAACTATAAACATCTGCTTTAGTGCTGTATTTCATTCCCTGCGATACTTCTGGTGCCATATATTTCATGTCTCCCACATCTGCCGTATGTTTTTGTGTAGTCCTGTAGTGAATGCGTTTGTCGTGAACTGTAGCCAAACCAAAGTCACATAACTTAACAAATCTACCATTTTTGACATTTTCAGCGATTAATATATTGTCGGGTTTGAGGTCTCTGTGAATGATCTGTGGATTCGATTCATGTAAATACTGAACACTTTCTAAGATTTGACGGAATATTTCACACGAAATGAAATATTCGACAAAATCCATGGGATGTCCAGATTGTCCACCAAATACATGTTGTTTTAGTTCAATAACATTGCGAAGACTTTGTGAACATAACTCCATTTGAATGTAAATACAGTTCCCTTCACGCCATGAGTCGTAATACTGGACAACATATTCCGATTGAACTAATAATAAGTTTTTTCCCT